CGTAATGGTCCGTCCAACCAAGTTGCTTTATAAATTATCCCAAACCCTCCTTCTGCAAGATATTCAACATTGGTAAACCTTTCAAAAGGGATCCATTCAAAAGATGAATCAATTTTCGTACATTCTTTTATTAGACTGACTGTCAATATCTTTATTTCCACTAAACCTTTCAACTTTATAAAGTTGATAGTGATGATAGAACATCCATGACAGAATTCATTCTTCTTGCATAAAAAACACTCATTACAATCATGAACATCTTTATCTTTGACGTTAACGTCGGATTATTACATTATATAAAAATATCTGGGTGTTGTGCAACTGGTGAGATGTTTAAATACTATCGATATTGTTATAAAAATCGAATCAAATTTGTTGACGATCGTAGAATTATTATTTAAACGATTTGGTTAATTAAATTGTTCCCATATAGAACTTCGAAAGGCATAATGCTTCGCAATATATATTTCTATTGATTTACTTATGGGAATCGATCTCAACCCAGAATAGATTCTAAAATCGGAGTGTATCTGTGAATTGTATTGGGATATCCACCGAACCTAGTCTAAAAAGCTTATCTCATATTACAAAGTTTTTGTTTATACTGATAATTGACCCCGTATATAATGTATCGTCACACTGCTAATATTTCTTAACGAAATTTTAAAACATGTCCTCTCATAAAATCGTCGAAGTTGTAGAACCAAACCCTAACCCTAACCAACGCAGCTTTTCCTTATGGCTCATCCGTCAAAGAGAGAACACTACATATAAAAAAGAATGCACCTCTATCAGAATTAAGTGGCAGTCTTGGGGATTTAGGCACCTTACTCCCAATCTTAGTAGCTCTTTCAATTACCGGACAAGTTTCTTTGACTGCATCGCTTATATTCGGAGGTCTGTGGAATATCATTAGTGGTTTGATGTTTTGAATCCCTATGTGTGTTCAATCTATGAAAGGTAATAAATTTATTTTCCATCATGTTCACCGTTTTTTAAAAAGAAAAATATAATAATGTCTATAACAGCTATTGCAGTGGTCACATTTATCAATAGGTGAAGTCACGTCGGCAGGTCTGGGTGTTGGATCTATGATATTTATTCTTGGCATCACTAAAACTATTAAAAACGAATATCGACAGCATTAATTCTATTCATTTTTGGACTAATAATCACCATTATAAAATCTTTAAATCTAATAGTAGATTACCATCAGTCTCATTTAATTATCCTGATAAAATTATTGTCCCAACTCTAGAAGAATTTAAAACTGCATCTCTTGGCCAACTTCCACTGACAACTCTCAATTCCGTCGGCATTAACTAATGATTTGTTCCCGGAACGGTCCTCATTGAACACTGTTGGAAAATTTCAATTTCTGTCGGACTATGAACATTGTTGGATGTTTTTTCGGATCCATCCCATATTGTTATGGATCAGATGGACTGACTGGACAATACCGTTTTGGTGCAAGATCCGAAGTTAGCGTTGTAATTCTTGGATTTTTTAAATTAATCCTGGGGATATTATTTGGAAAGACTTTAAACTATCTTCTAAATTACTTCCCTTATTCAATTCTTGGTGTAATGATTTTTGTCTCTGGAGCGGAATTATCATCTGCAGCACGAAATTTCATGAACACTTGTGATCATGATGATGATGAAACGAAAAAGAAATATTTTATCTTAGTGATCATAACGGCAGGATTATTGGTTGGCTTCCAAAATGATGGCATTGGATATGTTGGTAGTATGCTGGTTAGCCTTTTGCCTTTTATTATTCGCTTTTTGATCCCATGTCGCCAATCTAGTTGATGCACTTAAAACTTGAATTACATGTAATAAAACAATATACATGTACATGTACAATATACGAAAATTCAAAATCACATGCTCAAATTCGAACATTTATTAGTTCTGTGTTCACAGTTTCGCATCATTAACATATTTGCCCCAGATCGGGCTTAAATTTTTAGCTTCCAGAAAAAATAAAGCTGATGTACAGTATGCTAATACTCTTACAACGTTTTGGCGATCCTCTTAATTCGGAAGGGCCGTGTTGTAGGACCAATATTTTCTTTTGTGTTCCCCCCATACGTATTGTTTTTTTCTCATTTCATTTAGTCTAAGACCTATCGCTATAATTTTTCATATTTTAAAAAGTTGTAGTACTGAAAATATGTTTAGGATATTCTATACTGAAAATGCAAAGTATTCGGTTCCCACTCCTCCTTGATATAGTCTTGGTAGACAGAGTAGAGAAATTCGTGAAGCCCCTTAGCAGTTGGTCTGTTTCAGGAATTTTTCAATCACTACGTATCCAGGAAATCATTTGGTAAGTTTGGTCGTACTCCATTATAAATGTCTAGTTGCCATGACTTCGCTCACCAAATGGTCATTTACCTGTTACATAAGCCTAAAACTATAAACACCTGCAGCTCTGATGTATTACTTTCCATTTAGTACCTATACTTTCGCTTCAATTCGCAGTTGGAATTAATATATTTATTTGTAGCTGTGTTTAAAGTCAATTCAGTAGATTTTAAAGTAGTCAGAATCTATTTTTGAAAAACTTGTTTCTATTAGGAACCAAAAAGTATCATGAATTCCAATGTGATTGTGTAATAATTTCAACGCAACATCGCATTTACATTTACTAGATCATTTTCTTCATGATCCCACTTTTTTTCATGGATGTAATGCTTTATAAATTGTTCCAAAACCTCAAGAGTGATCTATTCAAAAGACCCACTACTTATTCTTTTTTATAAGACAGTCAATATTTTTATTTTGCTAGATCATTCAGCTTTATAAATTCGTTTGTGATATTCAAGGCGGAACAATCATGAGTATTGCGATCCGGTTGGCTTTGCATGGAATTAATAGGTTAGGATTAGAATTAGAGTTAAGATTATATATGTAAAGGTCCTCCCCAACATTTTTGCTTAGTACACCAAGCTAGATTTGTCAGGAAAAGGTCATGTCGGAGATATGTCATGTCGGGGGGATATGGGTGGTCGGTGAAATAGGCTGTCGAGGATATAGGTTGTCGGGATATGGCTTCTGGGGAAATGTTGTGTTGGGAAAGGGATTTAGTCTAAGAAATCTAGATGGGATAGCGGATATCTTATTATTGGCTAACCTAGCTTCTCGAATTAATGTTTCAGTTAACAATTCTCTTATAGATATTTCTTCCCAAATTTTAACTCCTTTTGGTGTTACACGATCCAATGAACAAAGAGGAACGTTTTTCCCACTCTTTTTCGATGCAACAGATTTTGTCACGTATATAGTCCTCAAGTCACAAACTGGGTCCTATGCTAATGCATGGAATGCACGGATATATAATGTGTATTAACTCATAAGCTTCCTTTTATTTTTTTTGCGGACCGAACGAACCACCCTAGCCCAAGCATTGAGCCACTATACAGTGATTATTCTACAAAGTCAGAGGCCCTATCGTCTCAATAGTAGAAACGAAATTTTTGCATAACAAAGTATACTCGTAACAAGGAACATGGGTAGTTGATCTATCAATGCAAAAGGACTCTTATACACTAATACTATAAAACAAATTCGAAATCATCATATATACCCAGTTTTGGTTGAAAAAATATTGTTCGTCGTTGTTAGAACAGGCTTATTATACTCTCGAATTTTATTCTTTTTCGAGCCTACGTTTTTTATTATAACGAACTTGACGCGACTTCCTCTTGGACGGTTTCCCTTGCGACATAATAATGGGACTAGAAAAAAAATAGGCGGAGATATACAAATACAATACTATTCGTCGAGCCGTTAAGGTTAAATAAAACCCTAGAACCGATGTCCTGTTCAAGAAGAATAGTACGTACGTATTTACTTTTCGATAAAAAAAGCAAGACAACATACTTCATATGTAATAATAACCACCTGAACCGCAACAACAATGACTCACAGTATCAGTATATGTCCATCAGGAATCTTTAGTGTAACTTACGGCGAACCAATTAGAAATTCAATATAGGTGGGTTAGTTTTTTAAACGGTAAGTACGTACATTAAATAATATAACGATAATGATAACATTATAATTGATGTAATTATTGTAGCATATGATTAGGAATTGTACT